GTCCAGTACGAGCCAAACGTGCTCGCCACTTTTCAGCTTCAGCGTCTTCCGCCATAGCGCCGAGAATATGCCGTCAGTCCAATCGTTGGTAGCCACGTCCAAGCGTCCAAACATTTGTGCAGCCGTTATAGCCTTCGGATTCATGCGCATCTCGCGATGATTATCGCCCATTTGGGTGAGCGCCTTCATTAGAGTGTGGATGCAAGTGGTCTTACCGGCGCCACTCGGACCCAAAGTCATGATGCCATGTCGTACAGTTTGAGTCTCGTAGAGTTGTATTAGCTTAAGAACCCATGGAGGATGGTAAACCAAATTCGCCTCTTCAGTTTGCTGTGCAATTGCTGCTTCCAGCTCTGGGTAATTGGTCTTTTCGAGCGTCTTACCAAATGCAATTTGAGAAAATATATCTAGAACATATTAGGGATTAACTTGTTAGTTGCTCACCTGATTGGGAAACAAATCCGACACCAGCGACATGAATAGTGGTTCGTCTTCGTCGATCAGCTTCGAGAGGTTCATATCGCGCAGGACCCGCATCACAATCGTACTCTCGCCATCCTTTGAGTTCCTTCGCTTAGCGGCGCCCAGCGTACGGAGCACCGATAGTATATTCCGCAAGCCGAAATCATAGTGCACTTGCTTGGTCAGCTGCTCCTCGCACAATTTGTAAAGTGTATAGAATTTGCGCGCCAAAGTGATATTTTCCAAAAAGCCACAGGACGCCAATTTGACGCGTATAATTATTTGTCTGTCTGGCACCATCATAGCAACAGTGCGAAATTGTATTTTTAAATTTTCAGGCAGTTCTTTACGGCCAGCATAACCGGGATTCTGGAAGGCAAAGGGCAAGAATAGAACAATCAAAATATGGAGGGATGAAGGGACAGATATAAAACATATTTTTAAACGCTCCCTCTCTCTGGTTGCTTTCACATTTGATTTATGCGTTAGACGCGATTAAGGGAATTCTGAATAGCAACTAATCTCATTATTTTGAAACAAAAAAATAATGCAACACTGCCACTTTGACATACTATTCATGTATGTAGACACTGAGTGTATGAGTTGCAAAAGCCATGGGAACTTATGGAGTTGAAAACGAAGCATAGAATTATTCACTCATTTCCTCCCAAGGTGATGAAGATCGAATATTCAAAATGATACATAAGACAGCTAATCATACCCACATTTAATCAATCATGATACATACTAAATAATGTGCGTATTAACCTAACTTAATTCAGACTGGTTAAAGTGGATAAATATAAAATTGTGAATTTTATTTATTTTAACTGAAATGCAAATAAAAAGAAGATAAGAATATAAAGCTTTAAGATACATTTATGTACGCATGTCCGTTTACCAAATTCCCTTCGTTACTGTAGTATTTAAGCTTCAAACCGACGCGAATGTATTTCAGAATATGTAAAAATTTCACAGCCGTCAGCCGGGGTATTTTCTTTCCATCTTGGTTATGCTTCTATTAGTCGGTGTTTTTGTTATTGATTCTGAATAAACATTGCATGAATTGCAGATGCCGAGCTAACGACAATTGCCTTGCAATGCAGAACAACAAGCAGACATATTTACGTTCACAACGACGTAAATTAATGCATTATGTGAAAATCGTTAAAACCATCAGCTTC